CACTCCATTTAAATATTTTTTTTATCAGTGTATGAAGGCAGGAAAATGGTACCTACTTTGCTTAGTACAAAATTTTGAACTTCAAAACTGGCAAAAAGTCTATGGTTCTGACCAAGGACTACTACACACATTGTAATACTATTGTATGAAACAATTATGGGCATATCATTTGTTGATGCCACTAAAACACCAGCATTTTCATAGTGTAGGCGATCGCCTCTGCTAGCAGAGGCTGGACATAGGCTATGCATGTCCTGTGTGTAGTAGTCCTTGGTTTGATATCAAATTCTCTGGTCCTTTTAGCGATTCAGCATTTGATTTAGTTTCCCGGAAACCTTAAAATTAAGATGAAAAACACTTCTTACAGGCCAATTATTACAAAATTGAGTCAAATGATAAAAATTCGCATAAGTTTGAAAGACCAGCACTTGCTAACATGTATGTAGTCTAATACGCGAATCAACGGTTTAGTACGTGAATCACTTAATTACTACATATAGTCGATATAATTATCATTTAACCACAAATTAAGCCCTAATTACAACAGGTACGCGTTCTACGCACGCATTTTTGGTAACCTTCATCAGCCTGCATAATTTTATAACGTTATTATCGTACCAAGTTTAGGTACAAATCCGCTTGTGCAATCCGACGAAGATCTAGAGTACCGCAGTATTAAAATAAGGACCGAGCCCAGCCAAATCACGGGCACGAAGCGAAGTTGAGACGCAAGGAAGCCACACTTCCCCTGAACACTCGCATGACTTCTCTCACTGCGGCTCCCACGAGACTAAGTATGGGAAACTTTAAAGCTCGAGCAGGCAGATCTGTCTCGCGAAGTTTAGGCTATCCATTACTCAGCAGATTTGTTGGCTCAGTAAGCAAGGAAAAGTTTAAACAAATAATCTTGGTTTTTATTGTGCGATAGATTACTTGAGGCCACGTCCGACTTTGGGCGGTTATCTAGGCTTGTAAAAATTTAAGTGGTCGCCAAAAAAAAAAGTTTTCGTCCCATATCAAGTATCCACATGTACAATTAATTAGCCATATAATTATTCAGCAGTAAATGTCGGAGGCTGAAATTTTCCATTCGGACAAATTATAATTATGCTGGAATTAGATAGAAGATCATTTCAATAATTTCGAGATAAATTAACGAATTTTCCTATTATTCTGACGAATAAATAATGCAGATGAAATATTTTATAACCGCGATGTATTTAATCTCAATTTACGAATGATTTTACGTATGGCCGAACAATATAAAGTAGAGGTGTATTCCTTAATGTAATTTCAGAAGACATGGAAATTATCGCTACGTAAACTATATATTAACCGGTAATGCAATAAACGAGAACGAATAAGACGCTTGAGTTAAGAAAGATAAGAGTTCATGATGAAGAGGAAGTGTTTACGATGCAACAAAGACTTATGCAGATATATATAAGAAAACTATAGCTGCATACATATTCAGGCTGACCGCCTAAAGTGTCAAACAATTGAAATGCGCATATTCACACTTTTAATAATTTCATAGCGAATTTCTAAAAACATTATGCTAGAAAATTTCTTCTGCAAATTTAAACAATGCAAGTTAACGGCCTAAGTAATGAATTCTAATGAGCTGAATAATTTGCTACATCACAGAAAAAAACTAAGCTAAGAGGCACTCACCCGCCGCTGTCCCGCGCTGAACAGAACGGATTCCTGTGAAAATAAATGCATTTAATGCTTGTACAAATGTAAACTCTCACACAAGATAACAGGTTTACACACTTTCTTCTTAAGATTTTTGAAAACACAATTTTGTTCCTATCTCGAATTTACTTCAGAAGTGATGTCTCCAAGTGAGTCATGACGGTGTACTCTTTAAGTGAGTCGTGACGGTGTACTCTTTAAGTGAGTCATGACGGTGTACTCTTTAAGTGAGTCATGACGGTGTACTCTTTAAGTGAGTCATGACGGTGTACTATTTAAGTGAGTCATGACTGACTTATTTCAAATAACGGTGCACTTATCGGCCTTGTGTTGATCCCTCTGATCATGTTTGACCCGACAAAAGGAAGTATCAGAGCTGCGTGCAGAATAGGTCACTATTTTAACAATAGGATCGTCGTCGCTAGTGCTACAAGAACGGTCTCGACCTCCATGACACTGACAGGACATTTGCGGCCATTGGAAAGATTCCAATCACGTAAGTGATGTTTTCCAGGAACGAAAACTTTACTACTACCATTGATGCTGATATTACTAGCACCGTGTCGAGGCCCATTTGATAAATAATATGAATATAAAGCCGTCAGTGTCCACAGACATTTACATATGATTGTGTGGCAAAAATTATCTTAAGATAGATAAAACTAAGATGAATGAAACTGAATAAATTAATATAAATAATAATTGAAACAACCTATAAATAAATACAAAAACAGCAATCAGAATCGCGCCTTTTGTTATACCAACTATCAATTTCCAGGGATGGTCTATTCAAGTTTTATTTCGGAGCCTTGCTGCACATTCAAAATCGTGAAAACGAAAACACAAACATAGAACCAACAAAATAAATAACTAATAAACACATAAATATAGCACGGATGACAAAACATTCAGGAATAATATAACTAAGAATATTCACTAAAACCTCAAGGAAAACATAACTTGAACACCAGAGGCCATACTTTCAAAACTCGCTAAGTGAACGTAAGTACTTACGCTCTATTTTCTTGTCTATGATTGGTGGATTTTGCTAGAAAGGCCGTCAATGATTGGCTGATGAACTTACGATCTCTTAACTTTTTCTGAAAGTATAGGCCCAGGGCACAGATAACACAAAAAATAACCACGACTAAAAGAACCACGTACCACTGTGGAGGAATCATAAACCAGAATGATTAAGCATTACGGATTCCTATCGAGGTCATGTCAAAGGTGACTAAAAACCTATATGAGAAAGATTAATCTAATATTTACAAGAACATTGCTCCCCTTTACAACCGGTGTAGCTACGATATCACAACCAAGATAATATCAGCTCCTAACTTAACATTGCTAATATCAAAATTATTCCAAACATAATAACAGAACGCATCAAAAAATAAAAGTCAAGAATCTATATTACTCCAGTATCTTCAGTTCATAACAATATAATACATAATAACGATATACTTGAACAATATACACTAAAAGAATAACTTCAATCTATAGTTAATATAAAGCCCAAGACCATTTCATTCCATTAATTTCAGTCAGTGTATAGTTCTGTTATGATTGATCCCAATTAGGTTTTCAAGATGGCCTATAGTTTGTCACTTATTAAGACTTTGTACTTATAACACAAACCCAGGAGCATTATGAAGAATATTTCAAGTCGAAAATGGAACAGCTTCATTAACAAATTATGACGTTATCGTTAATAGAAATTATAATGTAGTCGCCACGAAAATTGTCCTATTTTCAAACAAAATTAGTTTAATTTTAACTGGGAAATTGTGTGTCTTAATTTAAAAACTGCATCGTAAATTCTCGAAGTTTCAAGAAGTCTCCCGCTACATTCATGTATTCAAAACCTACTTGATATCCTCGGACTTGCGTGTAGTTTATTTCTAAACGTTAATTCAATTTAAGTTATTTCATAAATAACGAACACCAAGTTTATTGCTAGCATCCTATCGCCCAACCATGCACCAACTAAGGCAACGGCAAACACTTTCTAAACTTGTCGGCAATAATGCATTTTCCTTTCAGTCACAAGAAATGAAACTTTAAAAACAGTTGAGCAATAATGCATAAAATAATTTTATGCATTATTGCCTTATGCAAGATAATTTTACGTCTCGTTACGATATGATGTACACTTATTGATTTTTGAATGCTACTGTCCTTTGCGCTAATTTCCGTCAGCCACCAGTAAAATTTACTGTAGTGCAGCGCGATATAACAACTTAGTAAAATGCTATCCTGCGGGCATTCTGAGGGCTTCGGAAGGACATTCTAGAGCTGACGGAATAATGAAGACACGATGAATCTTATAAATATATTCAATTGAAAACGGCAGCTCTATAGAGGCTTCGTCTCATAGTTGAGAAATCTCTTCAGCGAATGCTATGTAAATGAAATCCCCAATTTATATTACCAGCTTTTATTCTATGATTATGTTAAGAAGGCTGACCATTGAAACAATTTTCCTTTAAACTTCATTCATAAGCATCAGAAAGAGTTATTCAGTCTTCCACGATCGTTCGGTAAGCAGTTCGTCTTGCAAGACTTCGAAATTGCCTAAGTTATTTAATCAGAGACGCTTCACTGAACTCACTGTTCATTGCTGTCATGAATATTTCAGAGCGAAAGCACCGAGGCTGAACCAATCTATGCGAGGTATGCTCTAGTTCGGGTGTCACCAGCATATCCATGGCGTCACGCAGATGGAACATAGATTATAATTTTAATGAATTTTTTGGAATTCGATGTCGACGACTTCGATGTCGGTGAACATAATGAAAGTAGTTCCGCCCGAAATAAAAGCTGCTCTGAAATCACAGTTTTTATTTCTGTTTTGCACATTGCTTATAAACGTTTGATTTCCCCTCAAAAATATGATGCACAAACTATGAGCTAATAACGGTTAGGTTTTCGCGAGTAAGAAACACAAGGTCCAGGCTGTTGATTTGAGAAAATGTCAAATCCACCAAGAACTTCGGTGTGACCAAGCCATAGTGCTTTTCTACAAGATTAACATGTCGAGCAAAAGTTACGGTACTGCAGGCAATCAAAATAAAAAAAATTACATGCAGAAGCAGGTTTATATTCTGGATCTGGATCTATTCTGGAATATATCCAGAGAAGATAGATAAAATGGATCAATTAAGACTTAACTCTGAATTTTCTTATTATATAAGTAAGTCAATGAGAGTGGCTAGTCACAGCAAAGAACCTGAAGTGTCAACCTACACACAGGTATTTCCCTACAACGTAGACCATTTGATCGTTACACACAAGTATTTCCCTGCAACATAGACCATTTGATCGCTGCATACACGTATTTCCCTGCAACATAGACCATTTGATCGCTGCATACAAGTATTTCCCTGCAACATAGACCATTTGATCGCTACATACAAGCATTTTCCAACAACATATACCATCTGATAGCTACATACATGCACTCATCCACAACATAGACCGATTAATCAGCCACAAACTGGCATTTCCCCACAACATGGACCATTTGATCGGCTACCCCCTGACATTTTTCTACATTGGTTATTTGGTCGTTCATAGTAATGTATAACAGTATAAGTACTCACGCAATGGGAAGCTGCAGCTTGTTCTGGAAGAGACTCACAAACGATGTCTGCTCGCCGCCCTCACTCGAGCCGCGTCGACTTGACATAACGACGCCGAGATATAACTATATTTTTATTCGTAAGTAAAAATTAGTTGAATTCCTTGCAATTCAACTGCCTCGAATAATTACGTGATGATTGAGCACTAAACAGGAGAATGTCTCGCTTCTTGTCACATTCACGAATTCATACACTTCATGGAACCGCGATGTTTCGCGAGATTAGTTAGTTATTGAACTCAACAGGGAGTGTTGTTCAATATTCAAATATAATACCGGTACCTATAATTAGCACGAAATATCCCAGGAGTGATGAGTGAATTGGGCGGCTCATTTCACGCAAAGTGAAACAGATTAGAAACATAAGGGTGTATCGAAATTAGTACAATATTGATACGTGATTTTGTAAATAGATTTATATTCAGTTTAGTTGCATGATGAAGATCCGTCAGAGGGGGGCAAAAGCGCTACATATAGCAGCCGCTACATTTGCAGCAGCGGTAGCGGTAGCGGCGATTAAGCAATTGCAACGGTAGCGGTAGGGCCCGCTACATTTCAGAGAAGCGCTGCCCAGCTCTGCGATCAGTTACGTATTTTTGTGACACTACCTGATACAATCTTAGGCAATCACAGCTTATGATTAATCCATTCTAAAACGAGCTAAACCTGTGCTAGAGCTGTGAATGCTGCATTGAACCTGTGGCTTTTTAAAAGAGAGTCTTTCGTCCTATTACTTAAAATGTTCCTAGCAAAATTTCCTTGATCCTACATATATGTAAATTATCTTCAACCGTTGTTAATCCAGGTGATAAAGTCGGTTGCAGTCCAAGTATTTTCATGCTAAATATCAGGCTGATTCGTAAACCATACCTAGCAGCGCATTAAAAAATTATTGATAAGAAAAAAAAACCCGCAATGGTAAAAAAAATTCCTACTACAATTATTCGTTGAGAACATCAGACTGAGATCGGTATTCACTCTCACCATGTAGTTCAGCTTAAATATAGATCCTGAAAAATTGGTATGGAAAACAGCCAGGTTTAGCCTTGTGCATCAGCAATTAATCCACGGATTTTAAATTGAAGCTTTTCGTCCCAAAACATGAGCAGACAAGTTAAAGGCATTTTGCATTCAAACAGTGAAGTAAAAGCAAGACCGATGGCTCAGGAGCTTTTGAAATTTCACAGTATCGCTCTCCTTTTAGAATACATGTTCCCCACCTGCCAAGCATATCGATCCCGTCAAAGACAAGCGCACAACACAAGCTGTCAAGAACGAGACATCCCACATATGTTAGAGTTGCTGCCGCACATCTTCGTCTTCCAGCAACATCAGTTAATTTAGAGCACGGTGACAGGCTCTAGTCTGGGTTGGAGCATCAGATGTAGTTTGAATGACAACAACAACGATGCACGAAGAAAGTTTTGTCGGCGAAAAATCAATAAATTACTTGTAAATAATTTAGCATGTTCACGTATGTTTCATTTCTTGTAATATTTATGCGTGAATTTCCAGTAGCCAAGTTATGGAACAACCTTGCGTTAAAAAAGGTTGAGAAGTAAATATTACAAAAATTGCTTTACATAAAATTAACTGATGCTTGGGGAAGTCCAGACAGAAGGATTTGGGCTACGCACCTTTCGCGATAAACTATATAAATTACAGCATTCAAGCTCTGACACGAGCAGTTCTTTAAAATCTCAGCCTTTGTCCGGGCACCTGCAGACGAGGCAAGCTTTATGCAATCACGACGGTATCGATCGTTAGGTGATGCAGTATGCCATCGTGATGCGGTAAATGGCGTGATGAAAAATAAATGATCCGTTAAACGCCATGTGACTTCGATTTACTATTCCTCACTAATTAACCAAATATCTACTACAGTATAAAATAACTTAAGTGCACCGCATTGCTCACGATTCCGTATTTCATTAATCCAAATCCGGAAATTTTTAATAGTAAACTTGTATAACTGACAACTGATAGAGAATAGAGCAGGAAATAGTACGAGTCATTTTAAAAGACCGCCCCAGATGTTATTGTCTGATCTTCATGACACGTGCAGTGCTCATCAACTACAAAGCTGCGAGTGCGCGCTGTAAATTTCATCCGAAAAAAAAACTTAGCAAGCTCGAAATGCTAAGTCCCTTTTTTAAAGCATGTCGCATCAAAAGTTTAAAGCCTTGGCGAAAATTCAGAGAAAAATATTGCCCTGCGAAATTATTTTTCGGGAGTGTTCTTTTGGTGCAAGAGGAAGCACGTGGAACGTCATGAGCGCGATAGCCCCTGACGCTCTTACAAATGTTGGCTGCCGCAACAAAAATTACGGTAAAAATGCGCAGTCAGTAGGAATTTAATGAAAATTCAAGTAAAAAATCACACATGAATTCACACAGTAAAGTTTACATTCGCGCATTTTTGGGTCATCTTCTTAGTTGAGAAATGAACGACTGCGGGGGCATTCAAATTTCTAAAGTATTTTCTTTGGAAGTTTGACTTATTTTGAAAATATAATTTTACACTTCTCCTTACAGCCAGGCAAATTGTCTGAATTGCTTGATGACAAATTAGATCTTTGCAACAAGAGGAAATCTTATGAAATAAACTAATTAACTAATTGATTAATTCTAAACAATACACGTTTCAGCGAGACCGATTAACAAGAATATCTCTCTTCTTGTTAATCAGTCTCTAGTTTATTTGGATAGGATAGACTTTGAAGCATGTCGCTGCTGCTAATTATTTGCTAGATTTTTTTCTCGAAAACAAGCAAAGCACGAGGGAAGATCAAAATGACTTATAAAGCAATAAGCTAGTATACCGGACATTGAGTTGAATAAAGTACTCATAGTTTCATACACACAAGCACTCGTGAATGAAACTGATGAAGGCTGACGTATTTACTGAAGAGTGAAGAAAGAGGGAAAGTACCCGCAAATAATTCCATTTTATACGTCGTACCACGAGACACTGCAACCCACTCTAATCTCTGCAACACTAACGCAACAGCAGCAGTAATTTAGCAATCCATGTTGAACGATTGTATTGCTATTGCACTTGGTCACCTAAAATTTCTCATTTGATTGCAACTTCTTAGCAAGGTGGCTGAACCTAAGCGCGGAATTCCACGCATAACATCTAGGTTGCTTGATAAATAAACCAATTTTGTTATTAAATTGAGAAGCAACTTTCTGGACAACTTTCTTCTTTCCAATTTAATGAACAGTACAGAAAAATTTGTGGAACCTGCATCAGCAGGAAGAGGAACCGAGATGTCAGGGGCAGACTGCAGCGTGATGGGATGGTTAAACTACGATGTTGGGGTCAGACTGCAGCGTGATGGGATGGTTAAACTACGATATTGGGGTCAGACTGCAGCGTGATGGGATGGTTAAACTACGATGTTGGGGTCAGACTGCAGCGTGATGGGATGGTTAAACTACGATGTTGGGGTCAGACTGCAGCGTGAGGGGATAGTTAAACTACGATGTTGGGGTCAGACTGCAGCGTGATGGGATGGTTAAACTATGATGTTGGGGTCAGACTGCAGCGTGATGGGATGGGTAAACTACGATGTTGGGGTCAGACTGCAGCGTGATGGGATGGGTAAACTACGATGTTGGGGTCAGACTGCAGCGTGAAAGGATAGGCAATCTACGATGTTGTGGTTAGATTTCAGCGTAATGGAATGGGCAAACTACGATGTTGGAGTCAGACTGCAGCGTGATGGGATGGGCAATCTACGATGTTGGGGTCAGACTGCAGCATGAAGGTATGGTCAAACAACTGTGTTGGGGTTAGATTGCAGCGTGATGGAATAGGCAAAGTACGATGTTGGGGTCAGACTGCAGCGTGATAAGACGGTTCGGGCCGCTGCGTAATGAGAAAGCACTAGTCTGCACTTCACTTTTTATGAAAATATGTTTCTTTGCTGCTCAGTAATTCTTGAACAATGTAATCCAAAGTGATTCAGTACGATTACCGCGGCAACATACGAGATCAAATTTAAATTCGAGAATGGCTCTCGATTGTGAATGAACTTATTCATCTCATCCGCGAATGGTATATAATGTTCATATGTACTGGCAGCTCTACTACTTGTAGTATAAAATTTCACAAATCTTTCACTTGTTTTTACCTCACGATCCGAGCGCAGTTACTGGTCAAGATAAGAGCAACCCACTAGCTTCCCACACGCACACTGGGCACCGACTGAGGCTGGGGAGTAGAAACACCTAGACAGAAGCGAAGCCGTCAAGCCGATAGAATGAAGAATAATTTCCTTCAATCTCTAAAGAAACTTGATAAAGTCAAGAGGGATCATCTTTTGAAATGTAATAATTTTCAAGGTCGCGATATTCAATATATTCAAGATAGTAGGAAGTAAAACACAGTAGGAAGGTTTGCAGAAAAGGCTAGAACTTTGAAGCAACAAGTGATGGTGGAGCTATGGCCGGACGCAACAGTTGGCCTGTTATTTTTGCCGACTAAAAGCCTAATTCTCCCGGCACAGATTTGATGATTTCGATTCTATTAGAATTAGGGGCTCGTAAGCTATAGCAACGAAAAAAACTTGGGAAAGTTTGTCAACTTGTTTATTTATATGTTTGCAAATTGCAGCCTAGAATATGTTTGGGCGCGTTTTCATGATAGTAATTTCAATATTATTATTATTACCTGGGAACGAAATACTATTTTTAGCGGTAAAAACATTGTAACATTGAAAAATTAAGGTGACAGTTAAATTAAAAAAATTAAAGGTTGTTTTTCTGTGTGGTAAGTTTAAATTTTATTCAGAAAAGAAAAAGTTCAAATTTGCGTTAAATTTTTAAACTGGACTTGAATGGAAGCTCCGTGCTGAATGGGATTGGAAACGACCGTTGTCAACACACTTGTGGCCTAAAATAAGCGCACTTTACATCTCGACAGCTACATTCAAAGGTAAATTCAATGGAAATTGGTTACTCATGCAGTCCTCTGTTAGGCGGCCAACCTTTCGCGTTTGCAACTTCGGGTAAGAGTTTCTTTTTTTTCAGTTTATCTTCCTTTTTTTCTAAGCCTCTGTATTAGAGGTTTACGCAGCTTCTTTCTTGCTGGTTGCATCGTGTTGGACAAATGGGAACTCCCTGCACTATATGATGATGACGATTGAACAAATTGTGATAATCCCCATCTCCGATAATGTTTTTTCTACGACTTTCTGAGCAAGATAGCTTCAGAGCTGGAGCCCCAATAAAGATTGTGCATGTTATTATTCCTGCCACTTGTTATTACATTGGACCCCCTATTCCCTGGAACCACTCTCATCAATCTTGCCTAATTCAACAAGCTGTTCATAAAGTCCAGGCAAAGTCTGGCGAATTATCGCAATTTCTTCGTAGCTCAAGTCGCCCTGCGCGACTCTCTGAGCCGTTGTTCGGGCCGACGCCAGCTTCTTCTCCTGCGCTCGACCAGCGAACTCCGTCCAGCGCGACGCCTGGGCCCGCCCTGCCGACCTCGCCTGGTGGAGAAGCAGGCGGATATAATGAATAATCTTAACAATTTACGTAACGTTGTGAAAATATAGAAAGGCAAGGGGTACTTCATTAAAATGTTTTTATGACCAATCACAAAGAAGTAACTGAAATTGATATGTATTTGTTTAAGCGATTTATAATCTAGTCTAAAATTTTCATGCTATTACAAGAAATTTAAATCTGCATCATTAAATTTCTATCAATAATTCCAACAAAGAAAAATAACAGTGATGGACTTAGAAAACATTACCTTTGTAATTTGATAGTAAAACAAATGTCCAGAAAATGTAATAAAAATATATTTTCCATTAATTTCATTAACACAAAAGATTTCAGAACTCAAGGAGCTTCATACTAAGATTATTTCGGGGTCTTTTATTGAGAGACCAAATACAACCTGTCGTACGCTCTCAAGCTTTGTTATATTTATACTGTAATTATGTACTGTATATGTATATACAGTGTATATACATATGTATGTATATATGTATATGTAATTATGTATGTATGTATTATACTGTAATTATGTAATTATGGTGTTTTTTCTCGAAGTAGAAAAACTATGAGGATGCAACCTACGGCAAGAGCTTCTTCCCACTGATCGGTGGCTACATCAGTAACTTCTTGGATGAGGTCGTCAAGTTCAGCTGACAACTCCTGGTACCGTGCCGGAGTGAGCGACTTCAAATCATCTTGATTAAGCTGACCGTCTGCGTTGAAATCCAGCTGCTTGAAGATGTAGCTCAACAAAAAGAAACATTCGGACTTGGGTGAGCAGTCGACGAGACTTGGGAACACGTTTGCATCCTGAGTATATGAATCGTATTACATTTTTAAAAATGATACCTAATTTTTTCATTGAAAATACCTCAATTGAAGAACATCATGTACGTATGGCATAGAGCGATCAAAAATGCAATATAGATAAGTGCAATTGTGTATGTGTAAGAAATTTGGTAAAATTTAATTGGTACTCAACAACATTTGTGTTTACATAAATTTTCGTGCCCTGAAAAAATTATTGATACAGAATGTTACCTATTGATATTAAATTGTGTTTTCGGTCAGTTGGCCGAGTGATTAAGAGCAGCGTGATTGGAGCAATTGCAGGTTCAAAACCCAGTTGGTTGTGAAAATTCAAGAAAATCAAGAATTGTCGACATATCAAACTTGGCATAACATTCAACGCATATACAACTAAATATTTTATTATAATAAATGCAAGCATAGTTAACTATCCGCGTTAAGAGGTGCTATAAATAAATGTCGGTATATCATTCATTTGGTTCTTTGTAAGACCGCTTTTTGCTGGTAAATATTTGAGTGTCATGTGAGTAAAAATGCATCTTCATGTCTATCGAAACGAAACTTTAATCCTGGTGGAAGTTAGAGGTCTAATTAGCTAAGCTCTTCGGTTCAATGGCACACACCTAAACCCATTAGCGGCCATGCACTTTTCTTGCGGGTACATAATACCACATTGCATCCATACTACATTACTGAAATTTATGAATTAAAATATATATATATATATAAAAGGTGACATACATATCTACCTTGTCACAGCGCAGCCTGCAAACAAAGGCGAAATATTTTTCCGTTTGAGTGAATGAGCACCATACACAAGCAAAAACGCCATTTCTACAAGCGAATAAATGGATAGCTAAACGCTGAAGGGCTAATTTCACGTGAACGCATTAGTAACACAATCCTGTTATAAAATGTTTATGAAATTTTGCAGCCTCACCACTTTCATAAGGTTGACAAATTCTTCGAGGTCCAGATACGGCACCTTGGAGAAGAAAAACCTCGTAAATATGTAGGGCAGCTTAGGTTTATCGAGCCAAGCCATGCGCTTGCTCGGCCTAACGCTTGGCATGAAGTGAGACAGCGTAAGCCTGTCGCTGTCGTCTCGGTCGGATGAGGGCAGAGCTTTTTGCTGGGACATCACTGAGACTTTAGCAGCATTATTTTCGAGAAGACGCTCCATGAAAGCCTCACTCAATGTCACGTCCTCAGTCCAGGATAAAAGCATCAAGGATGTTGCGCTTGAAGCGGCCACTTCGAACGCCCTGGGAAATATAAATTGTCAACACGAAGGTTCTTAATATTGCATTTTAGAGAATTAATTTCATAGTATGAAGTGAATACAAAAAATTTTACAACTCAATATTACGTTCATTCTGCTCTACATTGCTATATAGCGGAATAATTGTTTGAATTTCAATCGTGCAGGAAATGTAGGCGCATTCTATGCAATATTACACATGACTTGAAATGTAGAAATTTCTCATAAAATATTCAACGCCAATTTATTATATAATAAATTAATTTCCTTTAATTACAATTAGTCAATAAGGACAAACCCTTAAGCAATAAATTCTAAAGTTCACTTTCAATAGAACTGCATTGTTTTGGGAAAGTAGACCCCCCCCCCCTTTAGTAGAATTGAACTAAACCCGGTGAATAGCAAGGACAACTTATACTCATTTCAAAAAATCTTATCGAAAACTGGTCTAAAATCAACACAAATATTTCCTTGAAACAATCAAAGCGGGCAATTTCATAGCAAATGCAGCAATTGACCGCATCAAGCGAGCCTCGCAGCTGTCCTGACCAAGATTTGGGCAGCAGGAGGCAGTCGCCCGCGCCGTACGCACCGCGCAATCGCGCACCTTTGGTCGTGGCCGCGGCCTCTGCCACCTGTCAAGACGCACAATATTTGGATGATAATTGCGCCTTGTGTGTAGCTATGATACTGAGATTTAAGAAATGGTAATCATACATACTAGAAAACATTAAAATTTATCGTGCATTGTCGCTAATTACTTCCCAACTTGTAGATCAAGTGTCATTGTAAATTTAAACCGTACTATTTAAACACAGTGAGGATTCACGTTAGAAAATTCGAAAATCTTTAACAACATAGGATCCTAGAATTTTAGGAACAGAAATTCCTTTCTTAATGACATTCCGTACTTCAAACGAATGGCAAAGATTTTTTCCTACCAAATCTGTTCAGGCTTTTAATGAAGTAATTCATATATATTTTGAAGGAACACTCGAAATCCATTAACAGTTGCGGTGTCAGCTCGCTGCCCCAGCCATTGTCTTTCAATCGTTTTGCTTTAAATTTCATTTCTACTGGCCTTCAATAGTTTTTTCACCGATGGTTGACTGTCAAACTTTCTTAAATGCAATTAATATTAGCGAAAATTTCTCGCTATTTCCTATTCCGATGATAACAAGTGATAATCAATTAAAATAAACCCAGATTCTCATCGGAGTGCCATCATCGTCGCTAATATCCTGACCTGTGATGAGACCGACACGCTGCCGTCCCCTTCCAACACGCACACGAATCGCGCTGGCAGTTCTGCAGGCTCAGCGCCCCTGCCTTCAGTTGTGAATTTCGCCGCGGGATGCAGATACAGGACGTACTGGCAGAAGGTGTGATCACGTCACAGTATAAATAGCATATGCAATAATAACTATAATGAATAATATTGTTCAGTACACTTGGCTTCCGGTAATGCAGCTTACTGCAAAATTCGGAATCATGAAGGAAGGAAAATGCATTTCTTGGATCAAAGAATGAAGAAAATGTGCATGCCTGTGAAGTGTATAAAATGTGATGATAATGTGCATGATGTAGTGAAAAATTTATAAAAAATCTTCATACATTATTTATGCAATTTTTAATTGACATTCTGGGTTCTTACAAATCAAGGAACAACTACGAGAACGACATTTTTCCCCGAACATTCAATTATTACATAGAATTTTCATGAGGTATATTTATGCACGTAAATGTGTTAATATGGCAGCTTGAATAATTTTCAAGTAGACTAAATATTCATGGAAAATGAATCGACTGCTTTGTTAACCCTGATTTTAAGTGCAAAATTTATTAGTAATGACAAATTAAAAAGTGCATACCGAATTTTGCCAATCAAGATGAGTGAGGTCGAAGTCCCGCATGAACGATGGCACTTCAAGCTTGTCCCTGTAGCGAGTGTAGCCGAAGAGGTTAATCCCAATAAGTGAGAATAAGAAGTTCGAGGATATATATTTCCTTCTTTCTATACGATATATTTGCTTTAATTTCTACATTTTTTACATAGGAACAAAAGTGTGAGCTTATATAAAAACTGCCTCTCCAATTTTTAGCTGACCGAGCATATTTGATTTGAACCCAACAACCGATACGTGCGGCTCGGGTTCAACCAACCTGGAATGTTGAAGTTACCGACATGTATTTTTCCTTCGTCTTATGAAGACAACATGAACCAAATTTTGTAAACGTAAGTCATGCGCGAAGGATTTTGAGCGTTAATGGAACGCGGGACGATTCATAGAAGCAACAGATTATAAAAGACAAGATTACTCGGTCATTAAAGTTTCAAAGAAGTTTTTTCGAAGTTTTGTTTCAAATTTCCATGTTCTTTAAGCAAAAAATTAAAGTACAGACAAAATCATAAATCAAACCGTACGCCAAGGTTGGGCTGATGGGTAGGCGAGCGCCACAGCAACCTCCTCCGTTTTGCTGCGCGGCGTAAATGTCGAAGAAAACCCAGAGGGAGACCCAGCCTGCCGGCCCCGAGGTACTCTTGTCCGGCCACTCGTCCAGAAATGTCACAGGGTTACAGTCGCTTTTCTCGAGTCCAGATAGAAAATCCCGAGGTTTCGCATCACCGTTGTTATAGATACATGAAATACCATCATCTAGAAATACTGCTTCTTTTTCGATTTTAGTTTCAACATTGACAAATTTTTTGTAATTAGTCAGGGGGTTTACATAAACAGGTATTTCTGGAATGTTCTTGATGCCAGCTGCTTCACCGCACTGAACGTGTACGAAACTAATGACGGTGTTGAAACTTTTAAGTTTTGTCGATGAAAACAGCTCAGCGTGTAGGTGGCGTTGTACCTCGAGGTCGAAGGCTTGTGTGAGTAATAACGGCGCATCGCTTTCCAAGAGCGTGAAAATGATCGTGTCAAAATCAATAACTTCCTTTCTGGGGATATAGTTACCATCCTTCTCAGCCGTGTGCAATGAGTCATATTCTAGTTTTGTTTCTGTGTTGTGCTTGATCTTCAACGCACACACTTGCAGTTCTCGCACTGAGAACGAGAACACAATGTAAATGCACAAAAATGTTGTTCGCATGTTGACCAACGAATTTGACAGACTTCAACTTTACAAATATAAAAAATTCGGATATTTTCACTGGGCCAAGGAAATTCAGGAACATAAATTCAAATGTTAGCATGTTCGACAGTCAGTTATCACAATAGTCAATCAACACACTGTCAAAATATAAATATGAACAAAAAATTTAATATATTTTTGAGTGTCCATCTTAGTACATATATGATCTAAGACTAAATAAGACGGTATTGCTCGGAGGCGTTCGCACTTAACTCAAGTCAGGTTATGGACAAGCTCAAGATGCTCTTTTGTGTAGATCGCTGTCAGGTGCTGCCTCTCACGACTGCTCGTATCTCGGATTGTCCCTCACGATAACGGCCCAGTAAAAAAAAAAGTTGCAAGTAACAACATGTGTGCCACGTGTGTGAAATTTTAATGTCATGTTTGAGCATTTCTATCTCACCATTGATTTACTTCCCGGAATATAGGAAAAATGTCACATAAAAGGGCTGAAATATATATTTCGCATTAAAAGGTCCGGAAGAATTGGCTTTCGACGATCTAATTTAATTTAGCCATTCAAGAGGTTTTAAAATTACGTTCCACTATTGAGTATATTAAAACTGAGTAAATGCTAAAATTTGCGTTTGATAAATCAATCTAATTTAATCTCTTCATTCAGAACAGCTAAACAATGCACTGCGATGAAAACAAAAAGCGTATAATATATACGGATACATAATTATGGCTTTATGGGGCCTGCCAACCTGGCAATGTGTTACGATTAATAAATGCGAGTTAGTTTACGTTTATCTGAGGTTTTTATTCAAATGAACATAGAGTTCTGTTCTACACTTAAATTCGATTTTTTGAGAAAAAGAAGTTCTGTATTCCTGTCATCTGGTTTCTCATTCGTGAACAGGAGGAGCATTAAGGAAATCGAATAGTGAACTGAATGAATTTTTTCTCGAACATGATCAAAATAGGAATAACTAAATTAGGCTTTCAAAGACTAACAATTATGTGCTAGGAATGCTAAATAAGAGTATTAGATTCTACTTCATGAGTATATTTTTACAAATTGTGTGCTGACTGAAAAGTACCGTCAGCAAGTCAAAGATGAGACTCTTTTCTGGTGCGCTTGACGTTCACGTTGATCAAGCCCTGGGACTCGATCTCATGACCAGGAGTAGAGCGTGGGCTCGTATTAGACAAATGACGGCCTGAGGTCTCGTGAAGAATTGGAACCGTGCAAGATACATGTAGGTGAGGCGGGCTGGTTTCTGGTTGCAGAGGGAGAACAGATTGTTGAGATTCACATTTATTCGTCGTAGATTCCGTTGGCGGCTTTCCCGTAGCAACAAATTTTGTGGACCCAGGTGCACCATAACTACCTTCCAACTCGGCAGCTTCATTGTCATACGAATTTTCAGTAGCATTCTGATTTATGTCGTCTTTTGTTAAGAGGTCAGACGTTGAATCAATACCAGAATTTTCTTCTGAATCCTGATAGGACTTCGATGCGCTTTCCTTGTGTAAATTTCTGAGCCTTGAAAGAAACCCCAGAGTTGGGAGCGTCTCAGGGCTCGCAGACGCGGACCGGTTCCTCCAGAGAGCGATGGGCTTCAGGGGAAAATTAACCGAAGGTAAGGAGTTGGCTCGCTCGGACGTCGGAGTGCTCGGAGTCAGGTAGATCTCAGGCGAGGTGGGTGAAGCCCCTTGACTGAATGAGCTTCGTGACTCCGGCGAGTCAGGAGTACCAGCGGAGCTGATCGATCCAAGCCACCTGCGCCACTTGCCCTCGGAAAGATAAATGGTGGGTATCTTCTCGCCGGCACCATTCGCGCGCGTTGATGTTGTTAAGCTCGAGTCAGAACGTGCTAAGGAAGAGACTCTAATACAGTAGGAGGAAGGGTTGTAGTACCCCTCTGTGTAGGGAATGCCGTGATACGTCATCTTGCGGTGAGGATTTGGAGTCAACAGCTCTGGTTTGGTTAAGCGCCGACCGTTGTAGTCGTACAGGATCATCCTGTAGCCAAAAAGTCCATTACATGAACTTACAGTGCAACATTTCTTCTCATTAATAAAATACTTTATTTGCATTTCAAATTATTTTATTTAATCATTGGTACCATACTTACTAAACCAAACTGCCATCCAATATGTCTTATATTTACGATGAACTATAAGCAGGAATTTTAACAGGTCATTAAAATTCGTATAGACACTTGGCATAACTGATGTATAATTAAATGATGATGCCAGAAAATATACATCGTTCTTCGATACCACTCACCTTGGTGGTTTATTTTCCATTATTCTGCTATAGAAGGCCTCCATGCGGCTCGATTCACGTTCTCCCCAGAGATATCTGAAGTAAAAAAAAACTCTCACATATAGCATATTATTCCCAGCTGGCCCTGCCGACAAATTTCCCAACGTTAATCATTGTCAAAACTCCTATTAATTCAAATAAAAATGTATATTTGCTTGCAACCAATTTTATGTGCGGAGCTTTTGCTGGTAAACTCTTGGCCTACGAAGAAAGTTCATTCGACAAAATTCAAACGTTAATCAAGAGTTCTTATGTTGAGCTTAACAAAATGACAGATGCATGGATATTAAGTCGTAATGAATAATTAATAAGTAATGCTGTATGTAACCGTATCTCATCCATGATAAGAATGCTCCTCGCATGGATAAGTTTAACCGTTATTCACTATTATCTGCCATAAGATGAATTAGTTTGCAAGCTATTCCATACCGCACGATGAGAGCAATCATTGGCGCAGCGAAGAGCACCATTACACAGATGATGTACATGAGGGCACCTGGCCCGTCCCGCGGTACCTGCCATCACAATTAAACTCAAATTAAACTCAAATTAATTTCAATATCTATAATAAATATTCGCTTTATACCAGCCATATAAACAGGCAATCGCGGCTATTTGTTGTTCTCGGTCAAAACGGTACTTGCAATCTTGGAATATTTGAGATGCGCGAAGTCCTGAATAACCAATTCTTGCATAAATCAGGACTAAGCTAAAATGAAGATGTAAAAATTGTAAATATCAGATCAGGCATCAGTTGATGAATTTTATTACGAGTACTATGAAGAATACCGACCTTGTTGATCGTAGTTGCTATGGGATTTGAAGTCGTGACGGTGACATTTTGCGAGAAGTTTGTAGGGTCTAAGAGCAGTAGCAGATGCTGAGCAGCGGCAGTTACATTTCCTTCCTTGAAAATATAACGAATGGACTGAGTCAGTATTTAACATGGACATGACGGCTGCTTCGCCCTTCAGTTATATAGTGTTCAATTTATATGCCAGTCGATTGAATGTCTTATAGAGCCAGATTATAAAATAATATGAATATTTTAAGCCCTAATTCAATTTGATAACGTAATATTCATATCGTTTACCTGGATTTCCACTGCTAGCTGAGCAAGCTGCAGCGCGGCGGCTAGGATCTCTTCTGAACAGGGTGAGATTACTGGTACCATTTTCACTGAAATTTTCTCAATCAACCTATCAATGCAAACCACATTTCATCATAACTGAATGATTCATAAGAACCTAGCCAGCTGGACAAAATAGCTGTTATTAATTGTTGAATAAAATGTTGTCACAATTCTCAGGAGAACTGGCCTCAACAATAAATTGTAATTTTCAAAATTACATTACCTTTTTTTCACTAGAATTGAGCAATTGTCTAATTACAAATTTTCCAATTTAACATGTATAGTAAATTTATAACTAATAAGATATGCATTTCCATAGATTTTTCCCAGCACTCGGGTATGGAACGTTGATAACCAATGAAGTTCTTTTCTCCTCAAAGTTGCATTTTCTTCGAAAATTACAATATGAATCTAATAAATATTTCACGTTTGTGTTCTACATGAGAATATAATCCATGCAATTGTCGTTAGAAATAAATTTCTAAGGATTTAATTGCATCCGGGCAGACATAAAGTTAATTTTATTAATAATAACTAACAAGATCCCGTGCATGATCCCGCGGACCTCGAGCAGAAAACTGCCGTGCAGTGGCAAGACTGACATCACAAGAGGGACTGCGCTAAGACCCTGTCTTACCCGGAGTGAGGTGTATAACACGGCGCTATACTTAGGGTGTGGGGTATACGATGGTCTAAACTAAAGGTTTCATCGCGCCGGGCACGGGCCTGCAAGCTTATCTCAATATTTACCTTATGGTATGTCGGTTTGGCTTGAGGCTCAGCTATTTAGAGCGTGTAAACTTGGATCGGCAAACAATTTTAAGTAAAAAACTTGCAGACGTATCCTGCGAATTGGCAATGGTAGACTATGTTTGTAGAAAAAATAAATCGAAATTTAATGAAGCCATATTAAAGACAAAGCTTGCAAAAAAAATACAATTCATATTCTTCGGCATTCAAATTGATTGGATATGTTCTTGATTTCAATGAGATGTGAATTAAATTCAACTACTCATGATGGAATTTGCTGGTCAAAAATGTACGTTTCATACCATGTCAAATTAAAACGAAGCGTGCAGAAGAAGTCTGCTGATCCTGTCCGTTGTCCATTGGTAATGGTGGGATAAGTTTCTCATAAAAATAAGATCGAAATTAAATTGAACAGGTTTCACCGGGCTTGGTTACTTATAGGCTTAATGAAAAAGCATAATACCAATTCCATAGCATACCAAGCAAATCAACATTTTATATCATATCCTCATATCATAATGATGGGTGCGCTTATGAATAAGCCCTATGTGACCTGTCGCCGATTCTTGTATTTTTCGTGACTTGTTCACAGGAGATCTAAAAACCTCTGACCGGATCTTTTCAAACTGACCTTAGTTTAAAAAAGTTTCTAGACTTCCACCAGTTTCGATATGGTGCTAGGCATTTCAAGTCTAAACTTATATTTATCTATAGCTTTATCTAGTCTGTTCTTGAATGCGGTCGTACTCGGCGCGTCAACGATGTCATTAGAGAGGCTATTCCATGAGACCATGGGCCTATTTCTTCAGTGCCGACACTTCTATTCTACTCTATATGTAGGTGACTCGAAGCGAGAAGTGTTGTCGCGTAGATGAGTTGCAACGCAGTTTTTTTATTAATAGCCATGGCTCCTGGTGTTGGTTCTTGTTTCAATATATGTTAATCCTTCTGGGTCCTTGTACAAACCATGAATAATACAGATACAGGATAGTCTTGTATACTCTAGTGAGGTCACCATTGAACTCTGTTATACGTCGATAACAGAGACTTGAAAGCTTCACAATCTTTTATGTCTTCGTAAGACATGTCCTTCAAGCCCGGAATTTTTCCTTTTTAGCGCATTTTCTCATTTATGGAAAAAATGCACTATTGTGCTCGCCATGTCCGTCTGTCTGTCTGTCTGTCTGTCTGTCCGTCCGTCCGTCTGTTCGTCCGTCCGTGACCTCAAGTTTTCGTCGACGAGAAAATGCGCTCTCTGTCACTCACTGCAGTGAGTACTGAGTTATATTTTTTTCCTTTCCTTTTTGCAAGTTTTTGAACACTTTCGATTAAATATTTATCCCTTTCAAGTTTTGGTGACCACACGGCGTTTCAAATCACTTGGTTTGGGCACAATCAGAGCTGTGCAGCGCTACTTTGAAATGTAGCGGCCGCTAGGCCCGCTACCGCTACCGCTACATGCTCTAAATGTAGTGGGCGCTACCGCTACCGCTACAATTGCTTAAATGTAGCGCCGCTACCGCTACCGCTAAATGTAGCGCGCTACTGCCCACCTCTGGCAAAAACTAACATGTTGACACTAGTAACAGGCTGAGGTTGACAACATTACATCGAAATCTTTCGTACAGCTTTATTCTGTTATTTATATTATGTATCATGCTATATATATGTATGCTGGTTTATCATATATCATGCTGGTATATACCAGCATGATATATGTATCATGCTGGTTTTCAAATAATATTTGATACTATTAAGTAAAATCTAAAGGCTTTATCTATAAATGTAGCGGTAGCGCTGTAGCGGCAAAACCTCGTATCGCTACTTAAATATGTAGCGGGTGCGGGAGCGCAGCCGTGGGTAACAAAATTGACGCGTAAACAGGCTCTGGGTACAACGCCAACCATCAGCATGCAATATCTACACATAGCCTCAGATCAATGAGCTGTGGGTAACTCCGGCTAACAGTAAATCCGTTTTGCACAACACAGCCACTGCTTCACAGCGCCGGAGCACAACTGGCCGGAGCGCAACAGGCCCTACCGCAACTAAGGCGCAGGTTAGGTTAGGTTAGGTTAGGTTAAGTTAAGTTAGGAGTAGCCTGTTGCGGTAGGGCATGTTGCGCTCCGGCCTCTGACTGAACGGCGCTGTTGTGGTGGGCGCTTTGTGTCGAAAGCCGTGAAGATGCCCGGCTGCGTTACGCTCGGGAAGGTATATGAATCGCACTATGGACTTGGGCTAAGCTTACCTCTAGCTATCCACCCCATTACCGGCTTTCGGTGAGCTGAAATTCGCAATGCGTCTGCGCACCTTCCCCATCATATATTTAAAGTCCACGCTTCCCAAAGACATCGAACAAAAGAGAGAAGCATGGAAAGTTCTTTCAGAAGAATTCAAAATGACTCCAGAAAAAAAATTCGAAACATGGTATCAAAAACAAGAAAAGTATTTTCTACTTCTACGCTGTTCATCTGTTTCGTCAAGGAAAATGTCAGCCATAAGAATAACATGTTGTTCACTGAAGCGGTACACTTTTTTATATTCATGGCATGTAGTTTCTGAGGTTTTTACGCGATGATGCCTTTGCTGTAAGCCAAACAGATCCATAGCTGACGAAGTAAACAAGGTTAAATATACCGTAGTGTGGTCGTGAAGTGCGGTGTGTACGACACTTCAGATTTTTGTAGTGCGCGTTATGCTTTTGGCCTTATTTAGCATACCAACCGTAGGGTTCCATGCCGCACTATGGCTTGTAGTGCGTAGTGATACTTCATAGTGCTAGCGCCCTATTTAGCATACCAACTGTAGTGTTCCATGTCGCACTAGTAGGCACTACGGCTTGTAGTGCGTAGCGCTACTTCGTAGTGCTAGTGCCCTAATTAGCATAAGGGCCATAGACTCGTGTGTTCCGTCCAAGATGTTTATTGGACTAATTAATTAATTGAATTCCAATGTGCCTTCAATATTTCAACATAAACTCCCATAACTCACAAGCATCGTACAAAATATTCTGATGATTAATGTCACCCAGCAGTGATACTGGTAGGATTTGTTTTCAATTGAATTCGATAGAACAGTAACTACGTAACTCAGGACTTTTTCGAAAATCGAAAACTAACTACCTAACATAACGAAAGCAATTATAAGATAAGAGGTGTTAAGGAAACGCGGACCGGAGCTCACCCCGACTTCATGTACTTTTTATACGGTAGTTGGAGAAAGTCAGTTGCGTTCGTGGCGAAAGCACGTGTGTAATTTTCGTTCCTTGAAATAACCGGCGAATTTTGAAGCTATAGATATTCAGATTTATTTGTAATCCCTTGCTCAAACCTACAATTAATACATTCAGACGCAACTGGCTCTCTCCCTCTGGGCCCTGGCCTCTGAGCCTCTGAGGTTTGCCAGTCTGCTTTGAATTTTTTGAATTTTTATTTATTTTATTAGTTTTTTTCTATTTGTTCAATTTTTTTTAAGGGGCTATATGGACTAGTCTCCAGTGCTCCTATAAGAATAACTAAAAAAAAAAAAAAAGATCATGAAGATGGTGGTAAGGAAAATGTAATGATAAGTGATTGTCTGGATGATGAGGTTGTTGCTTCTGATGGTTTAGTGGAAGAATCTGAAACTGACTGTGGAAGCATCACTGAAGCAACTCCTATGGAGCCTTGGAGGCACAGATTGTTGGACGAAAGCGCAGAAATAGAGAAAAGAGCTTGTCAAGTGAGAGTTCAGAGGGGAAATGTGAAGCGTCCTGCAGCGCAAAACAATAGAATTCAACAAAGCGGCTCTGCAAAGAGCACCAGCATGACAAACGTCAAGGTGGTCAAGCTTCCAACCAATGCTACCCTGCAAAGTTCTGGGGGTGGAACCATGGAAGAACAATACTGATCAGACCTCAGGGTCCAAATGCTGTGACATTTCTCAAAGATCCTATTGGACTTGCACAGGCCACAGGGAATCAAAAGCTCACCTTTTGGGTCTCTGGATGATTTGATTGTGCGTCCCAAATCCCAATCCACGTCGCCAGCTAGTTGTATTGGATAATTCATAATTGGAGTCTTCCTCATTCACAGGAGAAAACATTGTTAACTACCTATCAGTATCTGTGATTGGAAAGTGGACGGTTTGCTGTTACCAGCCAGGCTCAGATGTGCGGGTGTGTGGTGTTTTTGGACCAATTGACCCAAAAGTTAGCGTCGAAGAAATTATGGAACTCGCCAGTGCCAAAAATACGGCTATTTCTAATATAATTCGTCTGAACAGGTTTAAAAATGGTAATCAAGAGTCGTCTGCCACATTGAAGATTACCTTCCATGGCCAAAATTTGCCCAATAAAGTCAAAATTGGATATGTCTCCTACTCAGTGAGACCCTTT